GAAAGTTGTTTAATTGGTTTGGGAATGGAAGTACAACTTCTTAGATCTTTTCTTTGCTTGAATCTTCGAGTGATATATTCCATTTTGTATTAAGCTTTGATTGTGCCATTTAACAAATTTTCCATCCTCATTAGAGATTCATACTTTTTTGTACAGGAAATAGCAACAGAAGTTCAGAGCGAGTCTAAATGGAAGCAGTTGGGAGAATTGGCTATGTCCACTGGAAAGGTGTTGAGTATTCTCTAATTTTCCAAATTTGTTGCAGTACCATTTCTCTCTGTTATGATTGTCATTCTTGATTCTCACAACACTTTTCTTAGTAGCTTCTTGCTTCTATATTGGTGTCAATCACAATTTGAAAATGTTCAATGTGTTTGCCCATGAATGAAATCTTTCATGAGGATGTAGGAATAAAACGCTTTGTCTTTCCATAAATTATTTCTTTGTCTTTGTGGGTAATTTAACCGGTAAATGAAATGTAAGATGACCTTTTCTATTTTTGCATATTGTCTTGCTTAATGCTGGTTGTTGTACATTACAGTTTTCTGATGTGGATTTTGAATTTTACTATATGCACTAGCTGTTTGTTCTAATGTTACTTAATGGACATACACGTCATATGCTTGTTAGTTTTGGAAAGTGCCTTCTCTGCTTGTTTTTGAATCATTTCTATTAATTATGCCAAACTTGCCATTGCAGCTAGAAATGGCTGAGAAATGCATGACGCATGCAATGGACCTGAGTGGTTTATTGCTGCTTTATTCCTCTTTGGGAGATGCTGAAGGAATATCAAGACTTGCGTCCCTTTCCAAAGAGAAAGGGAAGAACAATGTTGCTTTCCTGTGTTTATTTATGTTGGGTAAATTGGAGGATTGCCTTCAGCTTTTGGTGGAAAGGTAATTCCTCAATCAAGTACCTGAAGCAATAGATTGCTGTTCATGTCATTATAGTTACGGATATATTGAGGTACTCCTTTTGCAGCAATAGGATACCAGAGGCTGCTCTGATGGCACGATCTTATCTTCCAAGCAAGGTTTCCAAGATAGTAGCAATTTGGAGAAAAGACCTCAACAAGGTTAGTTACATTACTTGTTTCTCGGGTGTTTTTTTTCCTGCTTTGTTCTTTATGAGCTGGGTTATCATAACCTTTTGTTCATTTTCATTCCACTTGTTTCGTTTTCTGAATAGTTTTACAAGATTCAAAATATTGGGTTTCTCTAATCAATAATATAAATCACTATTCTTCCTCTGCCTGCTATTTTTACTTTCTAAACTTATTGTGCATGAGTTTTGTATGTGCTCAGCATTGTCCTGAATACCATTGTCAAAATATCTATCCCCTCCCCCCCCCCCCAATCCCAGATGTAAACTCATATTGCTTGACTTCTTGCCTTTTTGTTGGGTTTGTTGATGATTAATATTATTATATAACATCTTGATATTTTGCTGGAAAAGATTGGTTTGAAATTCTGCTTATAGAGCTTTACATCTGAAAGCTAAGGAAAACAATCTTATCCTTTTTTTTTTTTCAAACATTGCAGCAGTAAAGTACTGCTGGAATCTTGTTGGGAGTCTTTTTCATTTAATAAGTCATTGGTGGTGGAGCAGTTTGAATATCTTTTTGTTTCTATTCTAAGTGCGATGATATTTAACTTCTTTGTACTCTTGCAATGTGAATCTGTTGGACTTGCATGTTTCTTTGTAATCCTACTCAAAAACTACCTGCCCTAACTCTTTATTACTTGTTACTTATTAATTTGATGTTATTTTTTATGTCATCTGCAGGTTAATCCAAAAGCTGCTGAATCTTTGGCCGATCCTGAAGAGTATCCCAACTTGTTTGAGGATTGGCAACTTGCTCTTTCTGTTGAATCTAAAGTGGCAGAAACAAGGTATCAGACAGGCTTCCTTTCTGTTTATTTATTGCTACTGCTTTTCTGTGATCTCTTTGAACAAATCATTTTCAGATTCTGGTTGTTTGGACTTTTTTGGTTGCTCAAAGATCTTTTGTACCACTTGCTTTGGTTGCAAAGGCTTGTGGTTGACACATCCCATTTTTTGTCTTACATGGATATGTTGTTAACTTTCAATTGGTCTGTAGAGGTATTTATCCTCCTGCAGCGGACTATTTGAACCATGCTGATAGATCGCAGATGACACTTGTGGAGGCTTTCAGAAACATGCAAATAGAGGATGAGGAGCCTTTCGAAAATGGTGACCTTGAACATGAGGTATATAATCCATATGTATATATTTTTCTTTTAATTCGGCAACTTATTAAACATGGGAACTATTTTGAGTGGTTCAGAACTCTGGTCTGAATTTACTGTCTGTGTCCTTTATTGGTGGGTGTCACAGGCTGCAGAACCAAATGGACATGATCAGAATTCAGATGAGCAGAACGGAGAAGAGGGTAGCCAAGAGGAGGCTGTTGTTGTGGATGCTGATTCTAATGATGGTGCAGTACTCGTTAATGGTAACGAGCCAGAAGAAGAGTGGGGTACAAATAACGAAAGAACCCCGTCAGCCTAAAAGCAATTGGTTGGGCAGCGTGAAAATCGAAATTTTGTCTCTGGTGATTAATTGTTTCTAAAATGCTATCTCTAACCCTTCTCTTTTAGGCTTCTCTGACTCCATTTTTATGATTTGTTTTATCGCAACCACTAATTTTTAACACTCCTGTCAGCTAAATTCTAAACAGTTTTCCTGACATGTTTTCATCTTGTTTACCATTTGGAATTGTGTACATGTTTTCTAATGCTTCCTAAATGCAGTCTTGACTTTTGTAAAATATGGTAGTGCTAATAGCTCCTATCTTTCTCGTATTGACAAATTTGTGTCCCAAACTTGGCAAGATCAAGTTAATCTGATGTCTATTGTAATTGGCTTCTGATCCCTCATATTCCCTGTAACTATTCTTATCAGTTTTTTGTTTGTGCAATCAATTTATTGTGTTCTAGCATCAAATTAGTAATGTTTCTGTTTTCTGTATGCCATAGAATATTAATGTGAGTCTTAAAAATTTGTCATATTCTCTTTGCAGTGGTGTTTTTGGCAGTTCTTTTATTCTGCCATGCCTTGATTCTTACTTTTTATCATTTCTTTCCCCTCTTGGCAGTGCTTACACCAGATCACTAGGTTCCATGAAGACATTCAGTTCGAGCTCAACTCAGCACACATATTTAAGGTGAGAAACTATTATTATTATTATTATTGTTATTATTATTATTATTTCTAAAAGGAGAAAGTATTAGTAGTTATACTGGTTAGAATTCGATTGACACATGCCTGAGTTTAGGTTAGGGCAAAGTACACATTTGCTTGTCTCATTAAGTTTGCCCTTTAAAGGTGTGCATACATCTTTATCTTTACAGTGAATCTCTCCAATATCCCGGATTCCAGTTGTAGCATGTGTTCCTTTCCAAATAAATCAAAATGGAGTGCTTCTATAGGATAAGAATTATTTTTCCAGATTCTGACTTATTGGAATGGAGATACTTATGATTTGTTTTAATTATTCTGGAAAAGCCACAAATAATTTTTTTGCACGAAGTGTAGTTCACTTTATCATTATTACTGTGTTAACTTTTTTTTTGGAACTAGCAGATTTTGAACTAGAAGCTAGAAAGATGTGACATATGAAAGGCTGATTGTCTTGCATTTCTGGTGGTTTGGATCTCTCAAGCACATTGAATTTTGGCTGGGGGGGTGGGGGCATATACAAGTATTCAGTTAGCTTCAAATTATGATTTTAGTTGCTTGTCTTGAGTCTTAGCATATTCTTTTGAGGCATTTTGTCCTAAATATTTGTTCTTGTGCCATTGTGAATGTAGAAAAAAATTGAGAATTAGTGATGATTACCCAATTCTGCCCATTGAATGTTGTTTAAATTTTAGATACTGTCTTGTTTCCCCTTGGCTTTAATCTTCTGGTTGGAAAGTGGGGATTTTTTTCTCTTCATTTGAAGCTTGTACTGTAAACATATATAAAATGCAGAATATTGTTCAATAACATCACTTTCTTGCTTTTTCTTCTTCCGGAAGATAGTTTCATTGAAAACCTGGAATTTGGCGAAAGCGGTTTTCGTTGTTAAACGAATACTCTGCTTAGTTTATTACTTCATTAGTTGTAGTATTACTTTCTGAGTGTATTTGTTTGTCAAAGGTGAACTTTGAGGCTAGTTTGGCATCTGAATTCTTAAAAATTACCTGTTTTTAAACCAGATAAATTGAAATGGAAGTCATATATGGATCTTTATTAAATTACAAACTCTGTAGTAGTGTGAGTTAATGGTTTACTATAATTAAAATTAAAAAAGTAAAGTGTTAATTGATGCTAGAGAAAGATTTGAAGATATCGAATTTGAATTTTAGTTATTTTTATAGATTTTTTTCAGAGTTGAGGGTCTTGAATTTTAATAAAAAAATCTTCTCTAAATTTCAAGCTATGATTGATTGGATATTTTGTTCGAATTGATTTTTATCTGCAAAATTTAATTTACGGTTTTAGGTATCAACGTTATTTTTCGAAAAAATACTAATAGAAATCAAATAATATATTTCCTTTTGGGTTAAAAGAATATTTCTGAAACCCTGCCCAAAAATTAAATTTTGAGATGTGAACTTTTTTTATTATAAATGATTAAATAAAAATAAAAATTTAAAATCAAAACTAGAAGATTGAAAATTTTCTTATATAGATCATGTGTAAAATTTAAAAAAAAATTAATAAATTTGATATATATTTTTAGATAAATATTTAACAAAATATCAATAAAATTTTTAATGTTGAATAAATATTAATTATATTTAAATTATAAATAATTTTTTAATAATTTTTATATTATTAATTTTTATATCAAATTATATTAATCTGTTCATTTAAATTTTTTATTAAAAATTTTATCAAATTATTTTAAAAATAAATTTCTGAAATTTCACTTAAAAAATTTATATAAATTTCGTCCCTGCAAACACTAGCTAAGTAGAGGTAGACGCGTGATCACCAGTAGACAAGGAAAAAGGATAGGAAATGAAACCCTCGGACTCTACCACATCCAAGCCCATACGCTTAACCTCAATTCCAAAATAAAAAATTGAATAAAAGATTAAAAAAACAGTATTATAATAATAAAACCTTTTTTTCTTTGGATCTCTCTCGTCTCTCTCTGTTACTAGGGTTTTGCGTCTGCTTTTGCTCTGGTCTTATGTAAGTCTTACATTCAGAATTCTTTTTTACTTTTTCCTTTTATAAATGTGTCTTGCTAGATTTTCTCTTTTCTGCCTTTAAAAATGGGGTATGCATAGTTTTTTTTTTCTTTTTTTTTCAGTGAATTTGTTAATTTTCATGATATGATTGAATACCTAGTTCGTAACAAACGTCAGATTCCTGTTTGGTTACTTTGAAAACGCTAGAAATATATGGAGAATATACCAAGAAGTTAATGCTTTTAGTTCTTTTTGTCTCTGGTTTAGCTCAAAGAAGTCATTTTTATATAGGCTATTGATGTTTAAAAAGAAAAATAATTCTTATTTTTAAGTTTACATTTTTTTTATGTTAATCCTTTAGTTCTTGGGCTTTGCAAAAAATTTTGGCTTTTAGCTTATTTTTTCCCCCAAAAATTTTCGTATTTAGATATGCTAATGAAAAGGTTTTTCCCGGTCTCAGATAGGTGGGTTCTGTTATTGAATCTGCAATCATTTCGTGCTTTGTTTAATTTCGTTTTTTTTTAATCTTCAAATGTTCTGATACTTGTGCTAGTTGGCCAACTTTTGCTTCTAAAGTTTAGCTTTCATTGTTTGACTCTACCTTTGCGTATGCCCCTTTGATAATTATGTCATATGGAATTCTATTCTGTTGCCTTTTTTCATTTTAGTTTATATGTTTCATTCTATTATGTCATATGGACACACTCCAGCCTCCATTCCTCCAGAGTCCAGCCTTTACGTTATCTTGATCGATCATCTCCTTCTTCTTGTCTCTCTCTCTCTCTCTCTCTCCTCTCCCGCTCCCCCTTCTCCTCTCTCTCTCTCTCTCTCTCCGCCTCTGCCTCCTTCCTTCCCCAACCATTTCAACAGTCAGCCCACAGCCTTTTGGCCTCCCAGTCACAGAACGGTCATCAGAGATTTTTTTCCGAAAGCAATTTGCAGCAAGCCAGCAATTTTTCAAAAAAAAAAAAAGTAATTTTTACTTACTCTTACCTTCAAATTACTTGTTCTTCAACACTTGATCTTGATCAAGGTTGAATTTGGGTGAATTGAGTTGATTCAATTCTAGATCTAGGGTTACCGCTGATTTATTCAATTCTAGATCTAGGATTACTGGCAATTTGTTTTTTTTTTGGTGGCTTCTCTTTCTCACTTTCTAGGGTTAGGCTAAGAATTGAATTATTGGTTTTTGTTGTTGATGTGCTTTCTGTTTTGATTGGCAATGGCATGTGATTCTTATTCGAATTGATTTTTTTTTTCCTTTCAAAAATCAGAAATGTGGGCGAAAAATGGGGATAGCGGCAATAGTGGACCCTTATTTTTGCTATTCCCCATTATGCCATTCTCTTGTGGCTGCAACGCACCGTATTTAGTGTGTTTAAAATTCACAGCCGCATTTTCTCAAATGGTGGTGGTGGGTAGAGGTGCTACCACGAAATAGCGGCCACTATTCTGCTACTGTGCTGCTATATAATTCTCTGGTGCTTAAGAGTTATTGGTCAAGGATTTGTTGATGAACCAGAACAAAATATTAAATTCTTTTTTCCCGTTTGATTTTGATTTTCTATGTATGTATGTGAAGAAAGGGTATGTGTTCAAGATTTATTGGGCACTTTCCTTTTTTTAGATGAGTTGACTTGTCTATTAATTTGAAGATTATTGCTTCATTCTTAACCATTTGCTGACAGTTTCATTAGTCTGATAATGGGGAAAAATGCAATTTGATATCATCCTGGAATTCAAGTTATAGTGTTATACCTAACTACGACTTGAGCTTAGCATCTCTCTCTTTCTCTCTCTCTCTCTCTTTGGGAGGGGGGGTGGTTTGCTTTTTTCCCCCTTTGTCATCCTCTTAGTTTAGAACCTTTTTTTCTTTTATTTTCTGGTTGAATGTTTTCTCCAATCAAATATCGTGACGATTGTGTGGTGGCAATGTTAGTGAGAGATTGCTATATGTGCAAGTCAACTTGTACAGTTGTTTGATGTCTCTGATGTGAAATTGATTGCATGTGATATGTGAGACAACAACTTTGTTCTACTATGGCCAGTTGCCCGCAGCTTTTGATTAAGTTGTACAAAGAATGCATTAGCTATACCTAAATCCGTGCTTGAATATTTTTCCCTACGGGAAGGACATTGGATTTATTTCATTAAATTATGTATGCCCTATGAGTACCCAAAGAATATCTTTGATGGGTTAAAATAGTTTTGAAACTTAAATCACAAGTATCCATGGGTTTACCTGTTATGCAGTTAGTTTATTTTAATCATTATTTTGTTTATGTTCTGTGCATGATGATGCTTCTGTGGGTTTGAATGTGATCTTAAAAGGGAACTTTGGATATATGTCTTGTTTCCTTACAACTTGGAAAATAACTTTTGCTATTCCAAACATTTATTTGGATTGATGCAGACTCATCTACTTTTACTCTTTATCTGCCAAGTTCATGTAGCTATTCCCATGTATATTTCCCATAGCACTTATATGCTCATTATAATTTGAAGAAAAGTTGTTAGCTATACACATTCTTTCCATTCAATTGGTGATTGTTCCGTTATTAATAACATTTTTGGTGGTATTCAGATATCACCACCAGAAGAATTTAAGTTTCTGTGAGCTTATGTTTGTCTTTGTGTGCTAATTTTCCATTGGGCCATACATTATGCCATGTTCATGGGTTTTGATGAGATTTTTGTGGAAATCTGTGTATATATTGTCTGTTTGTTGGTAAATATCTTTTGCTATTAAATAAATTTTGGTGATGAGCATCAACCTGTTGGGCATCCATCTTACTACTTTTGTGCTGTGTTCTTGCAGCTATTCCTACACACATTTCTAACTGTTCAGTTATTTTGGTTTGATGAAAAATTATGAGTTGGCAAGATTCATGTTAATTTGTTTTCCTGATAATTTCATTGGATATATCATTTCTAATGATCTGCAGATATCCTAGTTTGCAAAAAAGGTCCTCAAGTTTCGGTTTCTTTGCTTGTTACTGCAATGGGGGATGCAGAAAATGCCCTTCCACCTTCAAAGAAGAGGGCTGCTGGAAGAGAAATTTCTCGGGATAAACCTGGTCTCGATGATGAGGAAGATTCTTCTGAACAAGAGACCGGAACTTTTAAGAGGGCTAGTGATGAAGTGTTGGCAAACAGAAGAATAGTCAAAGTTCGCAGAAATCAAACCACTTCAACTGCCTCATCTAATCCTTTTTCTGGGATTCGCTTAGTCCCCCCTACAGAACCAACTGTTACTTCTGGTGCCAGCCCTGAGTCCAGCACAAACACTGAGGTTAAAGCTGAAGCACCGATTGCCAGTGAGAAAGAAGTTTCAGAAGATGGGAAAATTGGTGTTAACAAATCTGAAAGGACTGAAGATGGAAATAATCAGCAGTCAGATAAAAAAACTGATGAAATGGAGCCTGAGTCTGCAAAGAGTGAAAGTGAGAATATTAAACTGTCTGAAAATAAGAAGGATGAGGCAGTTTCCGATGCTGTTGCTGATAAGGAAAGTGCTGATGATAAGGGAAGTGATGTTGTAAATGAAGAAACACAAAAGGAGGCCAATGATGAAAAACCAGCAGGTGGTGTTCAGACCGAGGATGAAGACAAGAAAGATGACAAGACTGTAAATGCAGATAACAAAGATAAGAGTAGTAAAAATGCAGATTCAACTGCAGAAGGTGCATCATTGAGTTCATTCCAACAGCTTTCAAGTAGCCAGAATGCCTTCACAGGACTTGCTGGCACTGGATTTTCTACTACTTCATTTTCGTTTGGATCTACTGCAAAGGACGGTTCTACTAGTTCTGTTCCACTTTTTGGACTGAAAAATGACCAGCCATCTATTGGTTTTGGTCTTTCAACAAATGGAAACTCTTCCCTCTTCAACACATCAGGGACTTCAATTGTTTCTAAGAGAGAGGGAAGTGGTTTTCGAGCCATGCAGGAGGTTCCTGTTGAGACGGGAGAAGAGAATGAGAAAGTGGTATTTTCAGCAGATTCTGTGCTGTTTGAATTCATAGATGGGGGGTGGAAAGAGCGTGGGAAGGGAGAACTTAAGGTGAATGTCTCTACAACTGGGGCAGAAAAGGCCAGGGTGCTTATGAGAGCCAGAGGAAATTACAGATTGATTCTAAATGCTAGTCTTTACCCAGATATGAAGCTAACAAATATGGACAAGAGAGGTATCACTTTTGCCTGCATGAATAGTACTGGTGAAGAGAAAGAGGGGCTGTCTACATTTGCGTTGAAGTTCAAGGATGCTTCCATAGTGGAAGAGTTTCGTGCAGCTGTAATGGCACACAAAGGTAAGGCAACTGCTGTTCTAAAGACACCAGAAAATTCTCCTAAAGCCTCAGAGGGTTGAAAGGTGTCTCCCTTAGATCTGGTCTGTCCTAAACTTGCCATTTGCAATAGTCCTTGTGGAAAAAAGGATCTTGCTTGGGTAATGCTTAGTCCTAAGCTCTTATATGTAGCAGAGTCAACAGAGACCAAATCCTTTTTGGTTGTTATAAATTGTGTAGCCTGCGGGAGAATGTTTCAACTGATTTTTTGGGTGTCAATCCTGGAATTAAAACAACTGCCTGATCTACCAAAGCTATCACAACATGCAACATTTGACTGTTATTACTGCTCTGCCCTTGATCTGGGATGAATATGTGGAATTGCAGTGTTGCCTATTTCATATTTTGGAGTCCTAAACTTTTACCTTTATATTAATTAATAATATTTCCCCCTAGCTGCATTCTAAGCTTCAGAGATAGAGTTGTGATGTATCTGATAGATTTATTGCTCATAACTCCACTGTAGTTGTGCCAAAAAGAGATACATTTGTGTGGTGGGCAGTATCTTTCATTGGGGCGAGGCAAAGTTTATAGTATAAAATCCCTATTCTAATTTTTGTAAAACTCTCTGGGAGTAGGCCGGATTCTGTAATTGGTCCTCTCTTTTCCTTTGTTCTTTTATTCTGATCAATTTCATTTTACAGGGTCTTACTCATGAACATGGGGTTCCAATGCATTTTAAGCTCAAAGTATGGGGATTGGAATTTATTTGATAAGAAAGATTTGATTACTTTTTATTTGGATCTATGGATGTGGGGTTATTGGGAATTATAAGTTATCTTCTTGAAGCAAAATTGCATTCATAATTTTTCAAAACTGGGTTTTACCATACAGTTGTCTTATCACAACAAAGCTCACTTCTTTTTACTCAAAATGTTAAACTAGCTTGTATGGTTAATAAAATTTTGATTCATTCATTTTGAATCCTCTTGTTGAGAAATACTTAGTATTTCAAAGTTAGATTGTTTGACTATGCCCATATTAATTACTTGTATTTGCTAATTTATAAATAATCCCATAAAATACTTTACTCCATATGCTATTAAAATTGTAATATTTTGTAATTTTTGTTGATAACTTTTGATTAAGTTCGGTTAAAACATAAATATGGATAAAAACGAAAATAATCAAAATCAGTTAAATTTTAAATGAATTTCCCACATAAAATTAATTGATGACAATTATATTTAGGTATTTAAATACTCTTAATTGAATTGATACAGGATTTATTTCTATAATCACTTCAATAATCTCCCGCTTGTAAGTCTGCATGCCCCACTTTCTCCAACATGCTAAAAATCAACTAACCAAGCTCTTCGTAATTTGGGAGTATATATGGATGTCATGTATATGCATATAAATATGAGTTTCTATTTATATATTGTCAATTTTATATATAATTAACGAATCAAATTAAGTAATTTCATTAATGATCAAATATAAAATTTTATAAACTTTTAAAATAAATACATAAAAATTTAATTTAAAAAATATATATTTTTGTTAATGAAATCATATTATTCGATTTATTATTAATATATAAATTTTATATATTAATAATACATTAAATATAAACTATATAAATATAAAATAAACAATAAAAGTTGAGTACATAATACAAGAATAGTTATAAACAAAAGCAATTTCTTCCCCACAAAAGCAGAGAATCTATCGCAGGTGACATAGACATACAGTCATTTGTTATATTTTAAACAGAAATTATAGCCCAATATTTTACATTGGATTAACCCAAATATTTAAAACGCTTTATAAGTTCATTCCCACAAACAAGTAGCTTCGGACATAGAGTCATTATTTTTAAATAATTAAACATTGGGTGATTAACCCAAATATTCAACATGCAAGGGCTTTATTCATTCACTACCTCATCTTGCATGGCAATTCATAATCAGTTCTTCTTGGTGCATGTCGCTCGGCATGCATCCGCACAGCGTCCAACTTTCTTTTCAGCTAAGCAATTTAAAACAGAAAACAAAACAAAGCCTTGAATTTGTATATATTCTTGTTTTATGCTTAAAAAGGAAGTGAAAGAAAAAGCAGTTACCAGGATTTTCTTTGGTGCTGAGATTTGGGCACAAAGCGGTAGCACAACCAAGCTTGCAGAAGGATTGGGTATCTTGGATAGTTCCCACAGTTGATTTGGGAAGGATACAGTTCTAAAAGCATTCGATAGCGCCAGATCCAAATGTGGTTTCGGGTCGAAGGATGCACGGAATATAGCAAGTCGCGTAGAGCACCGCAGCGGGATCGCGGAATAGAAGAGTTGATCGAGGAATATAGCTGTGATCGAGCACCACAGCTCAACTCTTGTTTCTTCTATTCTTAGGTAGTGGTGCTTTCAGACATTGCCCCATCTCGGAATCCTACTCCTACTAAAGTGTCTGAGTCTTCCGGCGATTAAGACTCTAACAATGAAGAGGGTTTCTAAGAGGAACCCAAAGAGGAAGGTGCCCTTATTGGGGAGGTGGTGATGAGGAAAGGAGTTCCTTGGAGCAGGACGAGTTGGCCAAGGTTCTTGTATATACTTCTTGTGACTTCAGTATGACCCCCAAGGATGTGATGAAAGAATTAAAAGGTGGGCTAATTCTTAAGATTACCCTAATATGTGTTCAATTCATCACGTCCGTGCTCTGGTGACAAACTTCTATTTTTTCAAAGAGGGGTATAGCATATTAATGCTGAACCCCTCAGATCAAGTCACCAATAAACTGGAGCCACATCAGCTCTGGGTATGTTAGGATTCGTTCGTGGCCGGTATGAGGTTCTTACTTTATTCTTCAATTGTTTTAATTTTTTATTCATATAATTTAACTATCACTCAGCTCACTCTTAATTCTATATGGTACATAATAGGCTTTATTATTCTTTGTCAACACTTAGATATTCTTCCTAATCTTTATCTATTCGAAAAAAATTTTTTTATTAAAAAGCACATCAATGATAGAAGGTGGTTCAACGTTACAACTCGACCCAATAAGAAATTATTCGTTGATTGCCTGAACTCCATCAAAAACTGAAAGTTACTATTTGTGTGCCTCTAAAAACAAAAACAAAATAAAGATGATGAGACCTAGGCCGAGGTTGGGGTCGAGGCTTAGGAGACAATAAATAAGCCCAACCAATTTGTAGACATGCATATTACTCTCTCTGGCTTAGACCTATTAGATCGGGATAAAATAATGAAGTACACCCATATAGGAGTTCATCATAGATGCCTACAGGCTAACCTCCTCCGAAGTAATAAATGAGACAAAGTATTAAGGTAGGTATGAAGTAACTAATAGGATTTTTGTTTCATTAGATTTTTTATCTAACTCTTAGCTCGATTTTGCAGAGATGTCTTCCAAGAAAGACTTCAACTTTTCTCTCTTCCAACATGAGCCTAGGCCTAAAAAGGCCTGAAGCAAAATGATTCAACTCAAAGCCCCCTAACGTAGGGGAAATAAAGTCATCAATCCCCTTAGCTCAGCACTCTCTCACTAACAAAAAACACAAGACATGACCCATCGAGAGCTTTCTTTGGTAGCTCCCCATTCTGCGAAGAAGCTGATGGTCGAGGCCTTTTCCTCTATCTTGGAGAATTCGGAGTCCAAGGTATTAAGACCCAGTTTGAGAAAGGTTTGTACAAGGCTGGAGTACACTCTAATTAATAACCCTTCAAGAACTTCGGTGTGGCTAAGAGGTTTTGCAAAGTCACAGTTCCTCCCAGTAGTAAGTGTTGTTTAACTTTAGCTCAGCCTATTATTGTTATATATATATATATATATATTGTTAAGTCTTAGTTCGTTTAATGTAGTTTTTCAAAAACTCCCTTATGCACCCATGGACAACACCACCTAAGCCTTTCACGCATATTTAGCCATGGCTCACCTACTTAAGGTCAAAAAGGATATGACCATTTTAAGTGAGGAATACCAAAAAAGTTTGAACACATTGAGCGGCATGAGGTCTAGCCTCAATGCATATAAAAAAAATGAGACTGAGCAAAGAAAAAAGATTGATGAGCTGATGACCAAGTTAGAGAGCATCCACATCAAGAAAGCCTCAACAGAGTCCATAAAGGAATAGGTTAAGTTTAAACTTAGTGATGCTCAAGCTAAGTAGCTAGGCTAAGGTCCAAATTCGAGGTCAAAGAGAAGGAGAAAGAAGAACTTAATTAGAAAGCTGTTAAAGAGTTCAAAGCCTCTGATGAATTCCTCAAGCTTTAAGTGAAGTTCTATAGGGAGAATGTGATTTGTGGCTTCGAGCTGACAAAGGATGAGGTGTAGTTCAAATTTGCCTACCTCAACATTGATCTCTTTGATATTGATGTGAATAATATTAGATGAAGGCCTCATCTTAATCAATCCAATGAGGAGGAAAGAGAGAGAGAAAGGATGAAAATGATGCATTAGATGCTGAGCTCGAGACTGGCCTAGGCACTGAGGCTAAAAGGGGTGCAGTTGAGAAAAAACAAGTCGATGTCGTTGCTACTATTGTGGAAGATGCTCGTCTTATTGGTACTATAGCTGATTCTTAGCTCTTCTTTTCTTTTCTTTTGTATTAACTTTTGTAAACTTTTGTGAATTTTTTTGTTGATGTATAAGGTCGAAGTTTTGTTGTAACCTCTAAAAAATCACTCTAATAAGTTTTTGTTAATGGTAATTCTGTTTGTACTAATATGAGATTACTAATGAAAAGTTTACAACATTTTGTTCCAAAATTTTAGTTCAATTTTATTTAGTTTAAAATTTTCAAGTTTAAGCTTAAACATTACAAGATGACCTCGCAATGTGAGTATTATGAGATTAGCTTGGGCAATTTAAGATAATTGATTTAATTAGGATAATTAAATATTATATGTTTCAAGCCGACTTGAGTGAGCTTAGAATTGGGTTGAGCTTTATTAGGTTAGTTTATTTTGAGTCCAAGGACTAAGACAAACATTATCGTGTTTAGGCCTTAAGTTTCAAGTCAGACATCAGGTCAAAAACATTGTTTTTAGGCTGATCAATGAATGTGATCATTTAAACTTTATTAATTTTTGGATTACAAGTATAAGCTTGGTTTAATTTGAGCAACTGATAATATATTTTCAAATTATTCACATTTTATGTCCTTGACAAGCAATTACTATTCATATCCTATAATCTATAAGTCACATCATAGACGACCTCCTTAACCACATATAGTCCTTCCTAGGTTAGAGCTAGCTTTCCATATTAGTCATCAACTCCTAAGGCTTCGACCTTTTTAAGTACTAGGTCGCCCTTCTTAATATTCTTATGTCAGACCTTTTTGTTATAATAGCTGCATACCCTCTGTTGGTAAGCTACTATTATGTTAAAGCTATGTCTTTTTGTTATTCAATTAGATTTAGGTTGGCTCTTAGGGCCTTTTCATTTTTTTCCTTTAACCCTAACTACAACTCTTAAGCTCGAAAGATTAATCTAGACTAGCAGTACGATTTTTGTACCATACGATAGATTGAATGGGGTTTCTCTTGTGGTTACCTTGGTGGTCATCTTTAAAGCTTATAGTACCCCAAGGAATTTATTGGCCCACTTTCCTTTACCTCATCTAATCTTATTTTCAGAGACTTTAATATTGTCTTATTCATAGCCTTGACTTCTCCA